CCAACCAGGGAACTGCAAAGTGCATTCAAGTTATCAGTGTAGTATCTGTTAGATATTTTGCTCTCCTCCTGCAAGACAGGAGGAGACACTTCTGCGTTTTCATGTATTTTTCAAAGACAATATTTAAAAAGCATGGAACTGTTTTAAAAATTCAAGACAAGCAATTTCCTGCTTTTTTTTTTGAACCTTGTTTCTTGTTTTGTAGGCTACGTCTGGTACTTGTAGTTTTAAACCCTTCAACTGTGTCAGAAAAGAAGTCTAGAGTTCTTAGATGTATGTGTATTTGTGTGTGTGTTTACTCTTAAAAGTAGGATTTAGCTAACAATTTAGGAGATTGTACTTTTGACAGTTATTCAGCAATTCCACTGTGGCTCAGAGTGCTCTCACAAAAGCACCCCGGAGGATGAGATGTTGAAGTGGCTAGAATGCAGCTGTTCAGAGATTATCCAATTTATTGAATAGACTGTCACAGGGAGGTGATCTGGAGCAGCAGTGGATATTGACACCTTATTTAGAAGAGGGAGAGCTCAGTTTCCTGGCACGTTAGGCATCTGCTTTTGTAGGAGTCTTAGTCCAAATTGCAATGGCCTTGAGTTGAGCAGCATGAGTTTACTGCTGAGTTTCGGTCCTGAGAGCAGCGCCATGCAGAGCCGATGAACTCCATCTCCAACTTGGAATCAGTCTTTGGTTCTGACTGTAGCACAAGAAATTACTCTTGTCTGTTTATGCTATTATTTGTGTATAACTTTGTTTTTCAGTGGTCTGAGATCACCACATGCTGAGCAGTAGCTTGCAAGCTTCCAGTAGTTAACTGTGCTTGTAACTCCCTTATCTCACCTGCATAACTTTATATTGAGTTAGCATAAGATAAGTTTGTCTGAGTCTTCTTATATGCTTTGAGTTTTAATAAATTTAATCCTTTTCATTTTTTCCTGACTGACTTTGAAATTAAATTGAAACTACTGAGTCTATTTGATTTGAGTTAAAGATGAACGATATTTTAAGGTGTACTGCAAATGTTCATGTTTTCTGAGGGGATTTTTTGTTGTTGCATTTTGTTGGTTTCCGTTTTTAAACTTTTCTGAAAACAAAAGGTGAAGGAGTTTGAACTTGTGATTGTTTGCAACTTGCTGTTTCTATTGCAGTCAGCTATCAATAATTTTAATACTTATTTTTAAGATTAACATTTTAAATGTTTCTTCTAGACTTAACAGGCACTATGTTCGGTTTTTTTTTTCATTTTGATATTTTGAAAAAGCGTTAAGTCATGGAGGTTAAATCAAGTATCCATCATCTCCTTTTACTTTGTTACCTTTTCTTCTATAAGAAAATATTGGGGAAAAAAGAAATGGCTTAGTCAGTGTTACACAGCTGCTTGCTCTGAGGCAAGTTTACCGATGTCTGAGAATTCCCTTTTAAGATTTTTTTTCCCAATATTATCACAGATTTAAGGTATAACCTGAGCAATGCCATGTACTATATGTGGATTTGCATTGCGTTTCTGAAGTGGCCATGCTGTTGTTTATTCTTCTCATATGGAGACTTTACTCTGCTGTTGATACCTATATTCTTTCTCCTCACAATCCCACCACTGTTGATTGTAGGTCTGATGAAAGTGATTCCTCTCTGTCGGAGGTACACAGGTACTCTCTCTTTCTCTTTTCTGTTTTCCTGGCATCGTTCAGTGAAGTTATTCCAGTTCTTATGAAGTTTCATTTTGTTGCATGAATTTTCCTGATACTTGCACACTGCATCTCTTTTGCTTTTGCCAGTAGTTTAAATACTGGAAATTTTGGTCAAGCATGTCTCCCACCCTTATGTCCCTTCCTTTTTTAGGGTATTTCTTATTACTGTTGAGCATGTCAGGTTTTTTTCTTTATAAATGAAGTAAGGTATAAACCTTTTTTAGAGATTTTTTTTTTCTTTTCTTTCTCTTTTCTTTTAAGAAGAGCAGCAAACATCATCTGAGGTTTTATATGCTTCTCTTTTCTTCCTTCCCCCCTCTTGTTCAGTTGTATGCTCTGGTAACTAAAAATTAATGTTCCAGTGTAAATAAAAATCAATAGTTTCTACAGTATCTTACTGACAGTATGCATAGTGGCTAAAGAGATGTATGAATGTCCCTACTCATGTTCCACAGGGAAACAGCTGTGGCTTAGGATAGTGGCACGCTCTCAAAAACTAGAGCGTGCCTAGAGAAGGGCAGCAAAAGGGCTGGTGATAATGTGGGGGTGGCTTTGCCTAGTCGTTGTAGCACTCCTGGCACTTTTTGTCTGTGGGTTTCGGAGTGCTGCACGAAGGGAGGTTAAGAGCTCTTGTCCATGTATTCTTAGGTAACTTATGAAGGGAATGAGTTGGGGAAAAGAGCAGTAGCAAGTAATTCTCAGGCTCGAGGCAGCACACATAAACAGCATACTGCAGAGAAGAAACATGTTTGTTGTGAGTACTGTTAGAAAACAAAAGCATAGAGACATAAAATAATTAAAAAAATATAGAAAGTGAATTGTTTGCCCTCACGTTGCTGAATATGTTGTAAAAAGGTGCAGATCGGAAGGTGAATACCTTTTGCAAGCTGAGGAAGTTAGTGTCAGATGATTTCAGGCAATATTTGTATTTGTGGTATTTGTCAAAGAATTGAAGAGGAGTAATGAATTCTATGAACGTGAAAATAAATAGAATAACCATTTCTAAGACCGTACCAGATAAACTAATTGTCATGAAGTTAGCTAGTGTTAGTGAAGACTTTTATCCCTCCTGTAGCAAGCTTCTGCTTGATTGGGAATGTTATATAATTTTTATATTTCCCCAAAGCATCTGGGACTGATAGGTTTTTTTTGTGAGAGAGGGTTATAGTTCAGTTTGTTCCTCATATTGGGGCATGTAATCTGCAAAAGAGCATGGTAGTGAGTCTTAACTGTAAGCTCATCAGGTCGCAGCACTGCGTTGCATGTGTGGGCGCTACCTGGAGGCTTTTCTGCACTTCACAGTAATCAGTGCGGTCCACGTGTGCGTGCAGTTGTATGCATGGCAGTTTAGACTGCTAGTAATTATTAATTGGCAATGAACCATTTCATTTTTCAGGCTGGGTTACAGTTCTTTGGCACCACCACAGGGCTAGGTGCAAATTCAGACTCGTTTGGGGTAGCTGTGCTCCAGCTGTAATCCCTTTTACCCGTTCGAGTACAAGGTTGGCACTGCAGTGTAGGGTGCAGTGGGAAGCTTCCTCGGGGACGCAAGTAAGCAGCAGTTCTCCAAGCTTACCCACAGAAAGCGGCTGATGTGAAATGGTTGCTGATTTGGGATTTGGCAGAACACTCTACACTCATCCCTTTTTGCAGACACGTTACTTGGCGCTAAAATGTCTTTGTGCAGCTTGCAGTATTATGGTTGGATTCATGTCCTTGAATCCAGGAGATGCGACTGGTTCTTTAGGCATTGTACAGACTCTCCCATTTACTGAGCGCTCAGCATCTTGTCTTGTTTTTTGTTTTGTGTGTGATTTCCTTTTTAACTGATAGCCCACAGTTGACGCTTGGTAAAGCTAAATTGTGAAAAACCGTGCAGAGCTTATGAAAGGTATTCAGCTGTTCTGTCCCCACGTGTAAGCAAATGAGATGAATATATCCCTGCATTTAAGTAATTTAGTTTGATCTGTGACTATTATATGCCCAACTCACATTCTCTTTTTTCTTAGGGGGATAATTAACCCTTTCCCTGCTTCAAAATACATCCGATCTTCCCCACTTCAGTGTATCTATACAGCTGAAGGACACACCAAGGCTGTACTTTGTGTTGATGCAACTGATGATCTGCTCTTCACTGGATCTAAAGGTTGGGCAAGCTTCATGCGTCTACTGCCTACAGAGGCTGCTTTGACAACTGGGATATTGTAAAATTCCCAGTTTGTGCTTAGTGCTGTAAATACAGTGTAATATTGTAAGAATCTGGTTTTTTAACATAAGCTGAAGAAGGATTTGTTGTAATTAGCTGCAGATTTTTAATTTCAATATCTAGTATTTAGGCAGTTTATTTGTGTTGGAAAAAGTAACTCTCAGAACAGCATCAATGTTTGTTGAGTGATATGATGGAACCAGTAATGATAAAAATGTGTGCACAGGACGTACAATGCAATAGGCTTAGGGTAGGGATACCACCAGGTAGGCGTGGGAATTGGCAGATCTCCTCTGGCCATGCTCGCTATGGAGCTTGAATATATTCTTCCCGACATAGTTGATTCTTTGAACAGAACTATGACCGTTTGCTGCTTCCCTTATGTGTGTTGTTGCCTGTCTCTTGTGGGCTGTAAGAGTGGAGGAAGGGCCTTGATTTAGGAATTACTAAATTCTCTACTGACTTGTATAATCCATCAGCTCTTCAGGCTGCTAGAAACAGTGATTTGAAAGAAAACTTTTTTCTCTTATCTTTGGTGACTCTCCATGTTAATCACTAAATCTGACTAGAAAAAAACGTAGCTGGACCTCAGTGGTTATTTTTCATAAACATACTTTTTTTTTCTTGTATATCACTCCAAGTTATTTTTGCTTGTTCTTGTTTCTCTCCTGATATATTCATATAAGGCGTTCAGGGTAAAGGACTCTATATTCTTAGCCGTGCGGCCAAAAATGTGGAAGACACTTTTTCTCCAAAGCTTGGGTGAACGAGTGTGGTAGCTGAGGAGAACTTACCACCTACTGACAGAGAGACTCTCCTTTACACAAATTCACACAGTGAATAAAATCTGAAATTTCAGTGCATCCTTATTTACCCCTGGAATTAACATAGAGATAACACCCTCAGGTATAGGCCTTCCACTGATGATATTCTAGTACTGTTTCTTTGGCTGTTCTGCTACCTGGCTATTACTAATGCCAAGACATACTCTTGCAGTGAATTGGTAAACTTTTGATCTTACAAGTTTTAAGCCAACATTTTAGCATTTGAGCAAGTGTATAGGTGTGGTACTCTGCCTCTGGGTACACCTGTTGTCTTAATGATGTCAGGTCGTTTTACTTTGCAAACACAGGAAAATGCACAAAAGGCGTATTTTTAGCAGCTGTAAATACTGCTCTGTTGGTTTGTACTGAGATTTCAAACTTAGTGGCTATGTGAAAAAAGGCTTTAAAAAATGTTTTTATTTGACATGTAGATTTAGATTCAATTTTTTTTAACATAGAGATGGTTGCAAACGGTGTATTTTTTTTTCTTGTTGTATGCTAGCTTCCCACACTTTTAGAAGAATTTTTTTTTAGGAAATCTGTGTGC